TATATATATATATATATATATATATATATATATATATATATATATATTTTCAATTTTAATTTCCCATTTTAAGAGCATTTGGGACATATGAGACTTAAATCAATTAATTAGTATGATTACCAGAAAATTGTTGTTTGATTTATGCATTAGGTTTAGGTATCATTTCCAAAGTTGATGTTTGGTTTGTTATCATTGGATGTAAGAATCTAGTAAAGTTTGTATTTAAAATTAAGACCGATCGGTATGGCTCAAAAAAATGACATGGAGAGCCGATGTTGCATGGCCTCAAACGCGTTAAGGGCCAACGAGCACTCCCCCTGCTTCTCATTGTGTTAAGCCCTGTTGCCTGCTCAATGTGGCTCAACGCCATTTTCTTTCATTCTTCCTCCATGCTTTTCTTCTTTCTTGGCATCATGGCGTCATGTTCATGGATGAACACCATCCCCTCTAGGTGTTCAGAGCTCGATGCTGATGTGGCAGCATAGTACTGGGGTACCATACCCAACAACCTAAGAAAGCTATTGTAATTGGCAAGGGATGAAAGATGACAACTAAATGTACACATTCGGTCTTGAGTCTAGTCCCCTGATTCTACTAACTTGTTTGATTCCAAAAATCGAAGTACAAGTTTTGATAATGTCTATCATTAATATGATTTCAAGCTTGATGATAACATCAACAAATCTGTCGAAGTAATTTGATAGTATCAGAATATGACGAAGTTTACACACTTTATGTGAAATTGGCCAATTGGTGGTATTCATAAAAGACGTTTTTAGTCATTTAATGGTTCAAAATGCTGTTTTTTTTATTAAATTTTATAAATATTTTATTACTTATTTTAGATTTGGAGTGTGTTTGGGATTTCATTTAGAACAATTTATTGTCTTTTTGAAAAGTCAATAATTCAAAAAAATTATTGGTAATATGAAAAAAAAACTTTTAAAATAACATTTCATCAACCATTCATAAAGTAGATTTCAATAAGTTAGGATATTTAACTTTTCAGAATTGGTTATAATTTTTTGAGTTGTAAAAAACAATATTACCGTAAAATACCTCTTGAAACATGTATAAGAGAAATACTTTTTAAAAAACAATTTATTCAATTATTCACTTTTCTTGCTACAAAAATTAATTTAAATATTTTTTTTAAAACTCTTTTTGCTTAAAAGTAATTTTGAGGTTCAAAATGAAATCCCAAACACCCTCTTAGATAATTGATTAGAAAGACGAACTAAACCAACTAATAATGTCATTACTTGTTTGCTTGAGCTTAAGCGGAAAATAGTTTTCTTCTTGTGCTCGAATATCCAAATGGCCCTTGATACTTTTAAATAAATGTTGTTCAGTCTCAAATTTTTTTAATAAATTTTATTCAACTTGAGAAGGTTATTATGAAATTTTTAACTAATAGAAAGATAACACTTTTCTTGGTTCGTATAATAAATTAATCGATGCTGACAATTCGGTGGAAATTAGGAAAAACATGTATGATGAGGAAACTCCTATACCTATCAAATCAATTCCTATCCAAGTGAAGCAATCTTTCTTTAAATCAGCTTTCAAGCTTCCTAATCTTGTTCACAACACTAAATGATGTATTAATGGGTGTTAAGATCCCGATCTTGATCTTAGATATTACAGTTTTAGGATCTTACAAGAGAAAAACGACCATAATCATAGTATGGTCTATCGAATGCAAGATCTATATTAGAATTTTAGGATCCAAACTAGGATCCTAAGATCTTAACAAAATCTGATCTCACCTGTTCAATATTATTATACAATCGAGCCTTGATCTCGTCCATTATTGTGCTGAATATACCAATGATAATCTCAATGGGCGACATTATCGATACATCATGTTCATCCATCACTATCATGTACATAACATCAAGAATATTAAGGGTCATTATGTTGAAACAAATGTTAGAGAAAATGTCATTGCCCATTTTTCATAACCAATCAAGCATGTCACATTGATTCAGTGTTGCATGTTTTAGTCTAGTAAACTTTTTTTTT